AAAGTCTGCCTTGGATTCGTATTGAAATCATTCTCTCATTTTTGAGATTGTATCCCAGTACAGCTTTCCCCACTCTGTTGTTGACTGTGAGGGCTACTCCATTTCTTGTACGGGATTCTTGCCCACAATAGTAGATATGAGAATTGTCTGAATTGAATTCGCCCATTCCCGTCCATTTTAGTTCACTGACGCCCAGGATGTCAATGTTGATTCTTGCCATCTCCTGTTTGACCACATCCAGCTTCCCAAGGTTCATAGATCTTACATTCCAGGTTCCTTTGCAGTACAGTATTTTTCTTTGCAGCATCAGACTTATTTATTTATTTCCTTTCACTTCCAGGCAGGTCTGCAGCTGAGCGTCCTTTCGGCTTTGGCCCAACCACTTCATTAGCTCTGGAGCTACTTGTCCTCATCCTCCACTCTTTCTCAGTAGCATGTGGGACGCCTTCCGACATGAGGGTCCCATCTTCCAGCATCATATCTTTTAGCCTTTTGTTTCTGTTCATGGAGTTTTCTTGGCAAAGATACTGGAGTGGCTTGCCAGTTTCTGCTCCAGGTGGATCGCATTTAGTCAGAACCCTCCACTATGCCCTGTCCATCTTGGGTGTCCCTGCACAGCATAACCCATAGCTTCTCTGTATTACTCAAGCCCCTTCGCCAGGACAGGGCAGCAATCCATGAAGGGGATTATCCCTATACTCTCAGGGAATGTAAACAGTAAAGGTGCCGATGTGTTCGTGTTTGCATTGAACGACAACTCCCTGTTTTTAAAGCCTGGAACTCGCCTTTGATTTCCCCTAAACGGACGCTCCTGTCTGCCCCATTGGCTCCGAAGCTAGAAATAAGACCGGATCTCTGGCTGGTTTCCTCCATCATATTCCACCCCCCACCCCCGCCCTAGTTTAACTAATCCAGCCCCACGGTGGGTGTGGCGAGCCTTTCCCCTCCCTCTTTGTGGCCTTCGCTTCCAGACATCCTTCCACACACAGCCGGGCTTGCTTTAAATTGAAAAAAAGAAAGAAAGAAAAAAATAAAAATCAAGGAAACCCTGCGCCCTTCACCCCCGCCCCCCCGTCCCCGTCCTCCTGAGATCTGCCCCTGCTCACGCACCCCCATCATCATCGGGGGTCGGCTCTTTGATTTTCTTTGCAGATTTCCCGCGGGGACGCGAGGCAAAGCTCCCTAACCACAGACCCGGAACACCATGAATATATTCCGCTTCCTGGGAGACTTCTCTCATCTGTTAGCTATAATTCTCCTGCTTTTGAAGATCTGGAAGACAAAATCATGTGCTGGTAAGAAAGGCAGAGAGAAGGAAAAAAAGGCGAAAGCTTTCCTCCTTTCCCAGTTCCATTATGCTCCTCTGCAGGAATGGAAAAAGTCGCCTTATTCCCGACCTGAAAAGAGGGTTGCGTGTAAGGAACGTGTGAAAGCCTTGCAAGTGAAGCTGTAATTGACGACTGGACGCCTGTAGTCTGGTCGAATTCTTTGCATACTTCAGTGGGAGTTAAACCCCATCGATCCCCGTGGGATAGACTTCCGAGGAAATGTGCAAAAGTGTTTCTCTATAACTCTTGAGTAGCGGCTTGCGACTGCTGACTTGGCTTTAACTTTTTGCATGCACCTTTACTTCCTCTAAACTTGTATTTGAGAGACGCAAATATATTCCCGTTGCCATTTGCTCTCCCCCCCAACTTTTACTTGTAATTTAGTGCTGAATTTTCCATCCCCCCCCAAGAAGTTAGTGATGCAGGAAAGGTTTTTTTTTGTGGACTCTTTTTAGACCAGCAACTACAAAACCTATCAGGAGCCAGAACAGAAAGGTGGTCTGCTGATTGGTGCTTTTGTGAACATTTTCGGTTGACAAAGCTTTGATTTTTAATCAGCGGGCTCTTACAAGCTGAGCCTATGGATGGTTACTTGGAAGTAAGCCCTGCTGTGTTCAGTGGGAGTGACTTCTAGATAAAGGAGCACAAGATTGTAACTTTAAAGAACATAGCATGGGTTGCCCTGAGGAAGTCATTGGAAGTTTTTAAAACTTATTCTGAGCTAAATTTCAAAGTTCCTTTACTGCTTTCCTCTTGTGGGACTGTATATAAGAATTAAGACAGTTTATTTAATATTAATTTACTTTCTGCTGATGGGAGCGGTGGTGAATCATATTGAATGAAGTCTCCCTTTTTTCCTTGGAAGTGGGGAAAGCAGATTTTATTAAAACTAGTGTCTGTGGAATATTGGAGGAGTTGGGTGGGAACAGTGTCTGCACATAATGTGATCAGTTCACCATTTTAAATCAAGAGGCCTGCCAATTCATTTGTGGATAGAGATTTCATTATTCCGTAGCCATTTTCTATAAATGAAGCGTACATTTAAAACTTGCTTTTAGGGGAATATTGGGTTTTATAAAATGCAGACCCACCCTAACATTAGTGGAATTTGAGGGCAGGAAAACACATTGTAATAAGGAGCCCCTAAGTTGAATGTTGCCTTTTTGTTGATTAAAATCACTTTAGAGCATAGGCATCTTTCAGTCTCGAGAGACTATGGTAACATGCTCTGAATCGAGGAGTGCCCTCTCCAGAGCATGAAGCCTGAGTAAAGTAATATGGAGGATAGACTGTTACCCAAGCAGCACATCCCCCCTCTCCATGTTGCTGAAATGGTCCAATGGAAAGGCAAGAGCCAATACAACTGGTTCCAGCAACGTCACAGGAGTTGGCAGAATGACACAAACTGCCTTCAAAATCACTTTAGAATTCAGTGGGAAAAAGCCTGTTGCAGAGTACTGGGCGTTAAAATATAATGGGCTGAATGATGATGTGGAAATGTGTTCAGATTAGAACAGGAAAGGTTTCCCTGATCTCCTTCTGGAAGAAAAGAATAGAGCTGGCTGTTCTAGTTGCTAAGGTACAGAGAAGGGAGAAGAAAGCTGGTTGGAAAGAAGCCCAGGGGTCTAGCTTGAGTGGGGCCTGAATAAGACTTCCCCTACAGAGCAAAATTGGGGTAGGCCCTGGATTAACTCATTAAAACAGCGGGCCATGGTGGTGGCAGCAGCAGTGGAACCAGAAGTGGTGGTGGTAGAACTGGAAGTGGCAGCAGAAGGGGGAATCCCGGGCATGGAGGTGCCTCAAGACCCCACTCCGGATCTACTGCCAGCACCAGCTGCTCCAGATCCTGGCCCGCCACCTGTCGAAGCGCCAGCACCGCAGCTGCAGCCAGCTTCTCAGGTTTGGCTGGGGGGGAGTAGCGATCCGGCAACTTATGGCTGGTGTGCCGCAGAAAGGGCTCTGCGTGCCAGCTGTGGCACGTGTGCCATAGGTTCGCCATCGCTGCCCTAAAGACGATTATACTGTATTTTAATGTGAGCTTTTCTGGACACGTCCACTTCGTCAGACAAATGGAAACAGAATGAAATGTTGAATGAAATATCCATTTCATACTAAATATTAATTGGCTCTTAGGTGTATGGTACATTTACATGCAGTAGTTTGGCTTACCTTTTAGGGCTCTGTTGTAAAAATTACTCAGGAGACAGAAAACAGACACCAAGCCTGGGCAAAGATAAGAGAAGGGGAAAGAAAAGAAATAGGACATGTGTGGCTTTTTGTTTTGTTTGGAAGACTGGAGATTGATTTAAAACTTGAGAGAGAGAGAGAGAGAGAAAGAAAGAAAGAAACTCCTCTTTGGATTTAAATTTAAGAGGGTGTGATGCTGAGTGATAAAATCTTAAAATGTTTTGATGAGCATGCTCACTTAACTTGTGACTTTTCCCACTTAGTCCTAATAAAGAAATGATGTATTACTAGGTTTGGAAGGCAAGATATTCCTAATAAATGGCTACCTGCAAGTTTTATTATTTCACAGAACTCCTAATCTTTTCCCTGTGGTTCTTTGTAAATGTCACTGCCGTCTGCTCCTCTGTGCAGGGATTTCTGGGAAGAGTCAAGTTCTCTTTGCCATTGTCTTCACTACACGGTACCTAGACCTATTTACCAACAGCATCTCATTGTACAACACCTCCATGAAGGTAAAAGCTTGATGTTGGACTGGATGGCTCTAGTTTTTAAGCAAGGCTGGGTTGGTTTGGCTACTATGCTTGGAATAATGAAGGAGAAATATATAGGAACACTTTATTATCTGTGTCCCTTCCTCCTATATATTTTTATACGGCATGGTTTGTGGGAGGCTTAGCAACTTGTCCCCATTTTTAAATTTTATTTCTTTGACTGATTGAATGAAGGAAGGATTGAACCATTCTGCTTAGAGAAGTCAGGAGGTTTCAGTGCACAAAGGAGCTTTTTCCAGGCTCTGATTTCAAGACCAGTAAAAGGTGATGTGCAAGTTAGTGAAATTAACTTATTTTAACCAGTTGACAATTCCAGCCTTTAAAGAGAGCAACGTTCAGCAACCTTTAGTTGCTAAATAGCCAACTGAAGAATGTACTCAGAAGATCTGCAAAAGGTAGATCTGTCTGTAAGAGATTTAGGATGACGAAGGACGGTTGGAAGTTAAAAGAAATGTCAACAGTCTCAAAGGAGAAGTGTAAATAAGAACGTTTTACTAGGAAGATTGTTAATTTATTTTATTTACGTATGTATAGTTTTTATGTGGCTTTCTATAACAAGATTAATCTTTGAGTCAAATTTGCTAAGAAGTAAAACAGTGAAGCTGTTTACATTAAGAAGTGGATATGGGTGGGGTGGTAGTTGGTCTGAGTAATTCCTTTTGGTCTGTTTTGTCTCCTACAGGTGGTTTATATTGCATGCTCTTACACTACAGTGTGGATGATCTATAGCAAGTTCAAGGCCACCTATGATGGCAACCATGACACTTTCCGAGTGGAGTTCCTGGTCGTTCCGACAGCTGTGTTAGCTTTCTTTGTGAACCATGATTTCATTCCCCTAGAGGTAATTTAGTGCATGGGTTGGAGTCCCAAGCATGCAGTCCTATAATGCAACGGCTCACACAACTGGTGGTAACATTTGACATTCTATACTTCTATTATTTTTTTGTTTCTAGTTTTAATGCTATTTTATTTTGCTGGTGTGGCCTGGTAGTGATTTTCTACATACCTGCTTGCTTTTCAATAATACAGGCTTGCTTTCTTGCCCATACACTGGGGTTGGGCCACTTTGGTGGACTCTGGGGGCCCGATTTTTTTCCCTCCCCACCTGCAGTGGGTCTCAGAAGATCCAGAAGTGGCTGGAAAATACATTAAAATCAGAATAGCAGCCACCTGGGCTGTTTCCAGCTTTGATTTTCAACTTCAGAATTTTGTCAGTACTCTCATGGGAGTGGGTGGTATTCAGTCAGAAATGTGCTATATCTGAGGTTGCATTGTTAGAAACATCCCCTCTGCTGAAAAAAAGTTGAAAGAATTTAATGAGTTTTGTGAGGTAAATATTTACTGTATGAACACAACTTTAATTTTAAAAATAAATTTAAAATGGTTGGGAGAGTCAAGGAAATGGGATGGATCTGTACAAAATCACTCATGACTTTAATAGTCAGTTTCATTGAAATCATGGGACTAAAGCAAGTCATGACTAATTTGACTTCTTGATTTTGATGGGGCTGAAAAATGATGGATCCACTCTAGTGGCTTGAAAATATTTTCCAGTTAAGGCATCATTTTAATTTTCTTATATAGGTTTAACACAAAACATCTAACATAAGTGCTTATTGGAGCACAGTCCCATAAGGTTATAGGAAGCAGTGCAGGCAGCTTTAATTCCTTGCAGGCTTTTCAGTGATGTATCATGAAAAAATGAGCTAAGGCAGATATACCTTAAATTTTAGATCCATCAGATCTATACTGATTCTTGTAGTGTTGTTATTTAGTCATTAAATCGTGTCCGCCTCTTCGTGACCCCATGGACCAGACCACGCCAGGCCCAGCTGTCTTCCACTGCCTCCCGGAGTTGGGTCAAATTCATGTTGGTAGCTTCGCTGACACTGTTGAGCCATCTTGTCCTCTGTCGTCCCCTTCTCCTCTTGCAGTGTAGTAGTGGACAATACATGTTCTCTAAAACTGCTGTGCTGACCATACAACTTTATGGGTGCTATGTGCTGGCCCTACATTGTTTTTATTTATTTATTTATTTATCCATTCGATTTGCATGCCACCTGCACTCTGCAACAAATGAAGTCCTAGCTGCAATGCATAAGAGGGTGAAGTTTGTCCCAGTTACCAAATATTTCAGTGCACCTATCTCCCAGTAGTCCCTCTCATCGTTTTTACTGTACGCTTTTTCAGTATGGATCATATAACCACAATAAACCTATTTGTATTTTGATTAGAAATGTATGTCCCAACCATGCTATGTCTGTCTTTGGATTCCTCCAGATTCTCTGGTCTTTCTCTATCTTTCTGGAGTCAGTGGCTATTCTGCCACAACTCTTCATGGTCAGTAAAACAGGTGAGGCAGAGACCATCACAAGCCACTATCTCTTTGCCTTGGGTGTCTATCGTGCTCTCTACCTGTTCAACTGGATTTGGCGTTACCAGTTTGATGGATTCTTCGACCTCATAGCCATTGTGGCTGGCTTGGTGCAGACCATACTCTACTGCGATTTCTTCTACCTCTACATCACAAAAGGTACCTTGAAACAAGAATACAGGGAAAATAGAATTTCTAGAATAGAATCTGTAGGGATGAAGTGAAACAGGATTCTGGATTCAGAGTTTAGAAAACTTTTGGAACAAGAATATATAAATTATCTTGAATGAGGGTTGCTGTTCATCTGCAAGATCACTAGAGGGTACTCTACAGCTAATTAAGACCTCAGTTTCTCTGGTTGTGGTTATACCAATTAACCACCCCACTGGCACTTTAGTTATTATGAATTAGCAACAAATTACTTAGCAATTCATTTATTTATTTCTGCAATGAAGAAGTACTGTTATAATACAAACATGTAAGAGTGGGCATCCTATTCTTAGAAATAGATCTGATTTGGCTCTAGTAGATTGAAGTAATATGCTAACCAGTGTACTGTGAGATAGAATTAATAGACAACAGATTATCCAATATATACTATTATCTTTGTTCAGTTCTTTACTGTTACTCCCTCTCTCCTTTTCTATAAAGGGGCTGTTTGGATTTTCTGTTCTGGGCACCAAGATGATTTATACTATTGATGACTTTCAGTATTCATTCAAATATAGAATGCTAGTGGTTTTAAAGAAGAGTCCAAAGGGGCTTATATGTGTCTCAAGAAACCTCAAATATTTTAAACATATACTTGGATTCCCCCAAGCCTACTGTTATTTCCCTCTTGTATACTGACACCATTTTGACTGTGTACAGGTTATTATTTAATAACTGATACTAGTATATACTGTATATGTGAATTTATCAGGCAAAAACAAAAGAAAAATAAAGACAAAAACATTGTGAAACCTTAAAGACTGCTATATCATAATGTGAGCTTTCGTGGGCAAGTCCACTTTTTCAGAAATAAGTGTTCTATATGTGAAGATAACACTTTGTGGTGCCACTAAATCTCAAGTTTACAAGAGCTGTTCTTAGATACCAGAATAGCGATTTCTGAAAGATTGCTGAATATATGCTTTTCCCCAGAAGTAATTGTATCTGTAAAAGGCTTGTAGCAAAACAAGCCTCCCAATATTTTCATGAATTATTTCATGAATTCCCAACATTTTCATGAATTATTTTTGTTTCCTTTTGCAGTTCTAAAAGGCAAGAAGTTGAGTTTGCCAGCATAGTTCAGATGTAGACTACCAGAAGATTCTTTGGTGAAGAAAGATGCGGGGAATCCTTCACAAGCGATTAGGCATGGATTTTTTAAAAAAATCAAAACATCCAACCTCGTTAGTCACCTGTTGGGTTTCTTCCTGCGACCTGAACTTTTATCTAAGCGTATGATTTTGGACAAACAGTGGATGGCCCTTCTGCTCAACAGACTGATATAGATGGATGTGAAGTGGGTACAGCTTGGATTCCACCAAATAATGGCTAATCCCAGTTAATAAGTAGATTGTAGATTTCTAAAGTCCCTTTTTGATAAGTCTTCTCAGTTTGTACACTCTTGACTCTCACTTTGAATCAGCACTAGCAGGATTTTTATTTTAAAAGGACATCTTTTGCTTTCCACTCATGCCTTGGTGTGTTGTGCTGACAACTGTTAAGAATCTAAGCTTTCCTCTTTTTGAGGGCCTACTGCCGTGGAACGATCCAGAAAAAACAGGAGTGCTTACAAAGTTAGTGTGTTTCATTCAGAGAATGACTAGGGAGGAGGTCTCCTTTCTTAGAATACTGTCAAAACAAACCCATTCTCCTTCAAATATTATTTTGTTTCCTCTTCATTTTGTATATTGACAGTATAATCCTCATCCACTTCAAATATAACGGAAAAGCAAGCCTCCCTTCCCCAAGTTAATTAGTGCCTTTGTGGTAAGGGTTGGAATTTAAATAATAAAAAAGACTGTTTTGTTGCCTGTTTGTATTGTAATGTGTTTTTTTATTCATGTGCAGTTGTCTTCATTTACCATTCTAGTATTTCCTATGGTTTGATTCTGATTTCTGTTAAAACAGTGGCATGTCATTCTCTTGGCACCTATTTTATATTACATTTTGTGTTGTAACAATACTCATTCCTTGTAGCTCCCACATCTCAGGTTCCCCTAGAGGCCTAGACCTACCAAAGTTACCTCATAATCAGTAGCAAGTTCATGTATTTTCACATGACATTAAAATCTGCATTTGAGCCTTGACAATGCTGCTCCCGCCCAATGCGGATGTTGACTTACAGATAAATCTTGCTATGTCCAGCAGGACATGCTTTCCAATATATGAATGCATAAGATTAGAGTCCTAAATACAAATTGTTTGCCTCATGCATGAAAACATCTTAGAAAATATAGAATTAGTGCCTTGTAAGCGATGATGATAAGGGAAATCATGGAAATTTGTTTATTTCCACCAAAGCAGATGCCAGAATAACAAAATAGCTTTCTTGGACTGAAACATCTGAGAGACTGTACTCAGTCTGCAGTGATATAGCCATCCTGAGTATACATCCTGGTGAACTCCACAAAGTTGGATATGTTTAGGATTGCACTGCTAAAAGTGGCATTTTTCCTTATGCTAGCTCCAGAAACACAAAGACACTTCAATAAATTACTTCGAAAAGTGTAATCAGAGATAAAGGAACAAGATTAAATTATGTACAAGTAATGTGATAACTTTTGGTCATCATGCGTAACCACAGTTCTACAGAAAGGAGGGCAATTTAAATATTGCTTATTAGTTACTGGCAGATAAATCTAATTATGTATACTCCACATGTATTAGCCGTGGGATTGTATGAAGAAACCTCGCTTGCTTTGAGTGAAAATGAAAGTAACGACTAGCCATTTCTATGAGCAACGTAGCTCACAAGATTGATTATGGCAATGGTAGCTGGCCACTGTGAGGTGTATCTCTGTGTTTGCCCTAAATTTTCCCACACATCTTACAAAATCAGATTTCCATAGCTAAAACAAGCATAGCCTACATCTTTGAGCCAGTCCAAAAGGAATGTATCCATATTGGGAATCCTTCCTAAGGGTTTTGCAGTTTGCCCCTTAAAAAGAGAAAGTACCTGTTGTGAACATGTGAGCAACAAAGTGGCAGGGACCTCTCACACCTTCACACATTATCCTGGTGCCTTAAAACAGAGATGGGTATCCAAAATAGTGGAATGCTACTGTGTCTGGTTGAAGAAACAATACTATGGCAATTGTATCTTTCGGTCTCTTTCTTCCTTGGCTGTAAGATCACTGACATTCTAAGAATGAAAGGGAGACAAAGTACTTACAACTACCATAGAGGAGCAGTTCCCTAACCAGAACTAGCAGTGTGGGGCAATCCCAGCTGTAGAGTATTCAGAATAGCTGCAAAACAATGGGAGCAGCAAGTGGTTTTGTAAGGCTGCTCCATAGTAGTGAGCATGTGGATTATGGTCCTTGCTCCACTACCTTATATATATATTTTTTTGCTTCAGTTGAACCAAACCTAAAGTATTTTGGTTTGTTAATACATTTCTCTCCTCCCCCATTATTTACAGGAGGAATAAATAATTGCTTAATCATCAGTACTCATTAATGTCAGACGGTGGGGTACAGGAGTGGATGGATAAGAAGCTGCATTTGCATTCTCGGGATACCCCATATTGTTAGGAAGGGAGGTGGTAGTAGATGAGGAAAGGGTGGTCAAGGCAACAGATCCTTCATCCAGTGTCCGCTTGTAAGGAACAGGTGGCTCAGCCCACAGATTCTTCAGAGCCAGATAGCCCAGGTACCCCTACAGGAGAGAAGAGATGGCAGGTTAGCTATTTGTATTTAGCTGTGAGAATGGCTTCTGTGCTGGTGTAGGAAAGACAAAGCACACCTTAATGAAATAGTAAGCATAGGCCAATGGTGAAATTATTTGCTGTTCTGTAGTTTTAGGTGAAAATGGTATACTGTTACAGTTTTAGTAGAGGTAGCTGTGTTAGTCTGTTCCAGGTTATTGGACAAAAAAAAAGATTAAAAACATTGTGACACCTTAAAGACTGCTATATTTTTATGTGAGCATTCATGGACAAGTCCACTCCATTGTTTTGTTTTTGCCTGATATACTGTTACAGTATATTCTAGTATATTTTATATGCTTTCAGAAATATAAAATTTTGGCATTTGTCGGATAAAGGCTATGAGTTTTTCTTTAAATGGGGCCTATTAATGCATCCTTTCCAGCTGAGGCAGTACTGGGACTGTGTGAGAGGAGAGGTTCAATTTGATCATTGGAAACAAGTTTTTGAAAGGCATGTGATGGCTTGCCTGCTTGCTGTGCAGGTTGTCTAAATAGACTGGTGGGAAGGAATCGGTAGTGTTGATGCATGTTATTCCCAGTATCATGGAGAAGTGTAATCTTTTGGTCCTTGAATTTTAGAATGCTAGATATGAAGCTGAAATCTAGGACATTCAAGGTAGCTTTCTCAGAAACACCTAGTGGTCTCAACATCTGCTTGAGCTGGTGATGCTGGGAAGAGAGGTTGGATTTATTAAATAGTGACAAATATTTCAGGGTTCCCCTGTTCAAAAGGGATGCATCCTATTATCTGTGTAATATCAAAAAGGGTGCAGAATAAACACACAGCACCTGGTGAACGTGTGATTTAGGTTCAGTTACTACTAAATCATAAAGCTAAAATGTTTGTGATCCTCCAGGTGGACCCAGAGTAGAACTAGGGAGTCAGCTAAAACATGACAGCAGAAAGGCTGTTGAGAAAACAAACGCCAGTGGTATTTGGAGAAGGATACCATGTAATTCTAGAAGTCTTTTAGCCAAGGTAACAGAAGTAATACTTTCTGCAAAAACAAAATAAAAACACTGTGGCACCTTAAAGACTAACTGCTATATATTAGTCTAAAGAAGTAGACTTGTCCACAAAAGCTTGCATTTAAATATAGCAGTTAGTCTTTAAGGTGCCACAATGTTTTTCTTTTCATGCTTCTTTTGTTTTTGCCTTACATGCTAGAACAGACTAAAACAGCTACCTCTTCTAGAAGTAATACTTGATTTTCAAAAGAATGTACAGGAAAACAATATATATATAGGAAAACATGTATAGGACTGGATATTATCAGTGCGATACAGCTGTTTATGGATAAAAAAATTAAAATGGATGGTTATGTGATGCTCTCCAAATATTTTTAATTACAGCTCCAATTGGCCAAACCAGCATGCCACTAATCAGGAAAGGATAGTGTTTGTATAGTGCATACTGGTAGCAGGATCATTCTACATATCAAATAAGGTATACAGTCAAACAAGCTACAAATCTCAGAAGGACTGTACTCCTTTAACCCCTGCAAAATAATTTAGTACTGTCAAGATTCTACTGTTCTCACTACAATGTCAGGATGATTGCAAAACAGAGACTGAAACTAGAAGCAGTGTAGTTATGTAAACGAAAGAAGTGTATGACAATGAATGATTTCAATTACCTCTCATAGTTTGTGCAAATAAACAAGCCAGTTATGATAAAGACATTTTATGTCTGTTTGTAAGGGACATAATCCTGGACTTTGTTGTTAAGTGCTACTCAGCACTGGGGCAAAACGTGGATGACTCACAGTCATCTTAATGTTCCGACTGTGGTCACTGTTTCTAACTAGATCAGTTAGAAACAGTGACCACAGCCGGAACATTAAGGTAGACAATTGCCAAATAAATCTAATACAACCACATAGGAATCTGCCTTCCTCCTTTTTTGTATGTCAACTCTGGAATGTCCTAAGCAGAATTCTGGGAACACCAATCCACAGAGCCATACGTGCAGACACTTTTATTTCATACACGTAGCCAAGGACAAAGCATCCAAAGCTGTACAGCATTGTAGGCCTTATTTACTGTTGCAGTGCTTCCTAGGAAGAAGCTCCTACAATGTTCCCTGGGTGTAGTATTGCAGCTCTTGGGCTATATACCTGATGCCACCTCAAGAACTACCATGCCCAGAAAGCACTGGAACAGGAACTAAGGCCTAGAATGCAATACACCCTCAGAGGTCTAGTCCAGTTGAGTGAAATGAAGGTATTGTCAGGGATGGATCTGTGGGCTGAAACTCTTAGAATTTCAGGAAATTCTTGGAATATGACTTCAAAAGAAGAAACCTCACGAGGGGAAAGGATGGAAAGAAAGTTGAAAATCAAGAAGATCAAGCCTCTCCAGAACTTTTCTAATTTATTCAAACTTATAGTAGAAGTTCAGCTAGAAAATATGCAACAGGCCAAGGAAAATAACACCAACCACAAGATATGCCAATGTGATTAATAACTGGAGCCAAATAAAACATTGAAGGAAATAAGTAAATGAAGGATGTGTTCAAGGACTATAAGGAGATTACAGAAACCTGAAGCATGCTTTGTCCCTATCTTCTTTGTGAAATAAGTACAGTATCAGAAATACATTTAACTGAATTTTTCAAGTGAGTCTGAATCACTGAGCCAAATATTGGTGACAAGAAATTAAATTCTAAATTTGGTTTACAAATAAAAAGTTAACAGATGACTACATCTGGATGATACCCATTATCCGCCAAATAGTTTCCAAAAACAGATTAGGGCTGGATGATATCCATTATCCACCTAAGAATTTTCAAAGAACTCAAATGTGAAACTGCAAATTTTCTAGCTTATTGCTAAGATTTGCCTCCATGCCAGAAGACCAGACAGTGGTTAATATAATAGCATAATAACGAAGGATGCAGGAATTTACAGACTGTTTAGTTTATTAACTTAAATAAATAAAATGATGGAAAGTATTATTTTTAAAACCCTATAAGAATATAATCTTTGAGAGAACTGCTGGATAGCTCAGTGGTTTTGGTGTCTGACTGGGAGTTCAATTCCCCACTGGACCTCCTTAGGGGCTGGACTTGATCTATAGGGTCTCTTCCAGTTCTGCAGGTCTAAGATGATGATGATGATTAAGAGTATGAACAAACATGTGGATAGGGGAGGTGTAGTAGATACTACATGTTTTAAACAAATGAACAATTCCAGTTTGGCAGAATCTCAGCAAACTATTGCAGTATTTGATGGTGCTCCATTTGCCGAGTATAGAAATTATAGTTCTTCACACAGTCCATTATTAATATTGTAATATTTGCAACTATTCAATGTTGTAATGGTCACTAATGTAGACGATGTACAAAGGGTATTAGATTAATTCATGAACTCAAGGTTATCAATAGCTACTGATCATTATGATTATATTATTAACTCCAGTATTAGGAGCAGTAAGACTCTGAGTACAAAGTTTTGGGGAGTGGAAGGGAGCTACTGTCATATTTTGCTTGTGAGTTGCCCAAAGGCCACTGTATGTCACTGTCAGGAACACAATACAGGACTAGATATGGGCTTTTCATCTGATCCAGCAGAACTGGCAACTGGGTTCTATAAATATGTGGCTGAATATATGGTAAACAGATGTCAGGAGAGTAGAAAAAGGCAATATGAAAGATATTCTGAAGATATGCCAGAATGCCAAACTATAACTTCTATAATAATTGGGTTTACAAGTAAAATATTTAGTATAAACTAGTGAAAGAAAAGAGCTTTGATGTTTTGTTTTTCAGTAGGTGAAGGCTGATAATTTTCTAGGAACAGAAAAATATTTAAAATACATTGATCTACTTCCAAAGTAAAAAAGCTTAGAAGCCTAGCTCTGTTCTGAATTTTTTTTGGAACTATTCTAAAAAAAATTGTTGTCATGATCATTTCTCATTACTGAGTGAAACTGACAGCTAATCTTGCAGATTCTTATTATAGTTGTAAAACAAAGCTTGTCAAATACCTGCTATTGGCAGATTCTGCTGAGTGAGCTTCTGCAGTAAACAGAAAAAATTCAGCTGCCCTATGCCTGATAGGAAGTCAGGTTAGGTGTTACCCATGGTCCATGCTGGAGTTAAAATCTTTAACTGTTCTGCCTTTCTGATAAAAAAAAAAACTACTACTGTGTTCAATCCTGAATTGCTAGGATTAATTCTGTGCCAGGTTGCAAATGAAGGCCTTCTGCAACTGTTGGTCTGCGAAGGCTCCTCCTGATTAATTCTACAGCTTGTTGATGGGAAGTGTGAGTCATCCACAGTTCTACAAGGAATGAAGAAATAAACATGTTCTGAAAGAACTGTGTCCTGAAGCATTTTGTGTTCTCAACTATCAGAATTAGTGGAAGTATACTGAAGTCTCAAGACTAAAAGAGAGTTTTCTCTAAGTAATAGGCATCTCCTTATTAAACCATGCACCAGAAAAATTATGGTGTGCAGTTGATTCTCTAACTATGAAGCAGCACCTTTAAATGCCACCAGTAAAGGAAATACAGATTTATTTCCTAATCAGGGTAACTGAAAATGCTCTATGCCCATCAATACTTTGACCATGAAGTATGAGTGTGTACTTTCCTTCTGGAAGACTGGATGTGGGTGGGAGGACACACAAACACAGACAGATAGGCAGACAGACACCTGAATCTCAGAGGGAAGCACCTGCACCATATCCCTCATTTTTTTTCCATCCAGGGCCGGATGCACTACATCTGAGAGTACTGAAGGAACTGGCTGAAGAATTCTCAGAACCGCTATCCATTATTTTCTTGAAATCATGGGAAACGAGTGAGGTGCCAAAGGACTGGAGGAGGGCCAATGATGTCCCTATCTTCAAAAAGGGCAAAAGAGAGGAACCTGGGAACTACAGGCCAGTCAGCCTGCCATCAATTCCAGGCAATATTCTGGAACAGATCATAAAGCGGTCATTGTGCAAGCACCTAGAAAACGATGCAGTAATAACTAAAAGCCAACACGGATTTGTCAAAAACAAATCCTGCCAAACTAATTTGATCTCGTTTTTTGATCAGGTAACCTCCCTGATAGACAGAGGGAATGCTGTAGACGTAGTATACAGTATCTTGACTTCAGCAAAGCTTTTGACAAAGTGCCCCATGATATCCTGATTAGCAAACTAAGCGTAGGCTGGATAAATCAAGTGTCAGGTGGATACACAATTGGCTACAGAATGGTATTCAGAGGGTGATGATTAATGGGTCCTTCTCTGACTGGGAGGAGGTAATTAGTGGGGTACCCCAAGGCTCAGTCTAGGGCCCAGTGCTCTTCAATATTTTATTAATGACTTGGATGAGGGAGTGCAGGAAATGTTTGTCAGATTTGCAGATTATACCAAATCGAGTGGAATAGCCAATACCCTAGAACAGTAGTCCC